CATGATGTACCACATTGTGAGGCAGCCTATAGACTGACCCCAAGACCATGTCTCCTATTTACTTAGTCTGTTTCATCGTAATGAAATACATTCACCTGTGAAATCAGGAGCCACGTCGGGTGTAATGAAAGTACTAAGTAGGGCCTCCCAGGGTATCCGTGGCTCTAGGTACACAGAAGAACTTGGATGTCTTAGCAAAAGTTGGAATATATCTTTATTAACCTCTTTAGCCCAGCTTAGTGAAGGTCCGGAGCACTGAGATGCCCAGGCTTATAGAGCCTCAGTCCCGCTGAGGAGAGCTCCTGGCCCCAGCGTACCCAGGATGGAGCAGAGCATTCATACCTATCCACCCCCACAGACTTCAGCTCCTTCCTGCAGAGCACTGGAAATGCCATCCCCCGCCTGGCCTCGGGCTGCCTTCTCCACTAGCCTACACTACAAAACAAATTGTGGGTTCTCTTTATCTCCCTTCTTCCACCCACCCCTAGTTCCCGCCCTCTCTTCTCTTTCCTCTTTTTCTCATTACCACCTCCAGATAGCAGTGAGATTTCTAGATCGATGTATAAACTGATTCTTTCTAAGGTGTCTTCTGACTTTAAAATTCTAAAATTCTTTTGTGCTCTTAAAAAATTTTCCTTCCCCCTCACATTGAGTGCCTTTTTCTGAAATAATGTTTTGGCATCTGTATCTTAATCCCCTGGAGCATTTATGTTCTTTTTCACCTGGCTGGTTTCTAAAAATGTACTATGCTTACTCAGATATTTTGTCTTTATGCTCTAAAAAACGCTGTCGAATTAGACACAAAGTGACCTAATATCCCATCTGCCAAAATCACTGACAGATCTGCTCCCACAGAAGGTCATGAAACAGCTTGGAGAATATTATTTTAAGCGATGCATTTATTTCCTGCAGGTTGCTAAATTAGGACTAGCAGTCATTCATTTAACACATTTATTGGGGACGCACCGTTTATGGAGTGCTGAGGAAACTTCTGTGAAAGAGATAGGTGAGGTCCCTGCTCCCAGTGAGGAGGGACACACAATAAACAAGTAACAAATAGCAAGGTAATTTTGTATAGTGACAACTACGGTAAAGAAAAAAGTAAGATGATCTGTTGGAGATGTCCACTTTAACATTAGTGACATGCCTTCAGGAAAAGCCTTGCTGAGGACGCAACATTTGCACTGTGACCAGAATAACAAGATGGAGGCAGCTCTGACAATCTGGAAGTGGAATGTTCTAGGCAAAGGAATAGGAATTGCAAGTGCCTCAGGAGGGAACATGCATGGTACGTTTGAGTGGTAGGAAAGGAAGTCAAAGATTTGGGAAGGACCCAGATCTTGCTGTGGCCTGTAGGTCACGTAAGGAGTTTGTATGTATTCCAGAGCACAGAGGGAAGCCATTGGAAGGTTTTAAGCAAGAGGTGATCTATGTGTCAGCAGAGTCACTCTGGCTGCTCTGTGGGGAATTGACTGGAGGGGTGCAAGAATGAGACATGGCTTAGAAGTCGGTTGTGATGTGGCAGGTCAGAGGGGACAGCATTTTGGAGAGAGGGGAGGTAAAGAGAAGTGATGTGTATAAGGATATGTTCTGGGAGTAGAATAGATAAGACCAGTTAGCCTTGCTGAAGGACCAGGGTTAGCGGGTAAAGGAAAGAGGAATCGAGAATGAATCTAAGGTTTTATCCTGAGCAATTGAGTATGCAGGGCTGCTATGGACACAACGGGAAGGTTGGATGAAAGCTGGGTATCCAGTTTCCCCAAGCCTGTAACAACCTGAGACACCATGTATGTGTTTTAGAAGTGCTTAGACTGGCTCTCAGTGCAAGGTTGTTTATATTTTTCCAACCTAGAGCCTCAGTCAAGGACACTCTTGATCCCCATCTTCATACTGTCTTCTCCCTAAACAAAAGGAAGACTAAGTGGCGTAGGAGAAACAGAGGTAGGTAGATGGGTTAAGTAGGAGGAGGCTTTCCACCTGCCTGAGGTTGTAGCGATCAGAAGGAACAGTGAGTGGCCGCTTGTGTTCACGGGGAGGAGAGCGTATGAAATTCTCTGGTGTGTGATAACTGGTCCAGCCTCCACCCCAAACCTCATAATCTGTAGGATCACTGGAGAAACTCTGACCCAGCCATGGATTCCACTTAACTTTTTGTGTATATACATCCTCGCTCTTATACTTAATGTACGCAAACGCACACTTTTTAGGGAGTGAAGGCTTGCTCTGGCTTGGAATGTGCTAACTTGGGTTTGAAGCCCAGCCCTAACAACAGTAAAGCATTAAGGCTTTGAACCAGCTACTTAACATTTCTGCCTTAGTTTCCTTTATCTGTAAAATGGGGATTATAATGCTTACCTCGTAGTTGTTTTGAGAGTTATTTGTGGTTGTTATATGGTCAGTATTTTACCCAGCATGTGACATTTAGACATGCATGGTTATGGTACCTGTATATATGTGTATATGGGAGGTTTATGGCTCATCTTCACCTGTCTTGATGCATTTCCCTTAATGTAAGACATAGTAAATTCTTCTCATTTCCTGAGGTCCCAGAAGAGTCCATCAGTGACATTCATAGGTGCTAAGGTTGTAGTTATTAAAACCTTAATAACTGTATTTTGGAAGTCAGGGACTCCTTTTAACATTTGATAACACTGTTGGCCTTTTCACCAGAGAGAAAAGCAGGAAGCATTCTAGTATATTCTCTCTCTCTCTTACACACACACACACACACACACACACACACACAGTTCCAAAGGGCATTATGTACACATGTAAGTCATCAAACTATATGCTTCCGTAAATAAAGTAAAAAAATTGTGTTGTGCTTCAATAATAATGCAAACAAACAAAAAAAAAAGGGAAGGAGGAATTTAAAGGAAGAAAGATTCTGGATTTTTTTTACCGTTTACACACACTAAAGTCTTTTCAAGGAGCCCAGCTGAGAAACCCTTATTGGTGATGGTGGGGCAGGAGGACAAGAAGGTAGAAATGCTGATGCTTTCGGGGTTCCCAGAAGCTGCCTGCCTGGCGTGTATCTGAGCCATATGTCCTACCTTCTTTGTATATTGCATACCTCACGATTCTCATGCAAGAAGGTGCCTTTTTCTGTTCATATTTACTAACCTCATTTAGAATCCAGCCAGTGTGAACAGGAGCAACAATGATGCTGACTTTTGGTTGTCAAAGGCAGAAGGCAAATCTTGCCTTCTTGGGGCATGACCCTCAAAAGCTTAAGAAAACTTCTTTCTGATTTGCTCCTGATGAAAGAAAGCTCAAGCTGCCGATAGAAGAACCAGGCGAGTGATCCTCTTATGCTGAGCTTGGTGTCTCAGGTCATTTGAGTACAGCAGGGACATGTGTCTTGGCCACATTGGGCCTCAACATCAAGATGGCCCTTTTCCTACATTTTCTTTGTCATTCTCAGCTTCCATCAATCTGCCTGCCACTTCTTTTAGCGAAGGCTACGTGAGGGAGGTCAGGAACAAAAGGTTGGGAATACACTGGGTTCACCTGTAAAGTGCATGGTGCCATCTGGATCACAAAATGATAATTATCAATGTATTCTGAAAATGATATTCCTAGCTCGGCCACAGAAGTGCAGGAAGATATTTTATTGGGAGTGGAAAATAATCTCAATGATAGATGGCCTCAGGGACAACTGTGGAATTGGTTGGTCTTCATATGCTCTCATTTTAGAAATGATGTTTTTTAGGCCATAAACATTTTATGCCAATTTTCCCCTTAGTTGATACACTGTGACCCACCACAGCTGTAGTAAATTAGCTGCAAATGCAGCCTGAACCAATCAAGAAATAATGGCACATCATTCCAATTTTTAAAAACATGTTTCTTCAAATGTTGCTCTATTGGGGGGCTCTGTGACCTTTTGAAATTTTGAGCTGTCGCTACTGGTTTCTTGGAAACTCAGAACAGGGAGCCACAGAGGCTCCCTGCGTAAACAGAGGCTGAGCATGAAATGTGCTTGTTCACTGCTGCAATGGATGGCGCCATGGGCATTGCCCCCAATAGCAGTTACTGGCTTCCTTGATGGGAGTACAGTTTCTTAAAAATAGAAGCAAGGTTTTAAAAATCAAACCCATCAGCCCGAGCTGAGCAGCCGTGAGCTGCCAACAGGTGGCGGGATGGCTCAGCTAAAAAAAAAATAAAATAAAAATAAAAAATAAAAATCAAACCCAACCTTCAAGTGAAGTAATGTTTTTTCTTGTTTTCCTTTAGCTTACAGATATCTCCTCAAATAGGAAATCCAAATGCCTGTATGTATATCTTTTTATACTTGGGCCATTTGATAATGCCTGCATAATATGTTTTTCTGTTGCATTTTATAAGACATCTATAATGTAAATGGATTTGAGAGTCACAGGTAAAAATTTACCTGGTTATGCACCTAACCTTCTAAGATGTGGATTTGACTTTTAACTATGCTAGTAGTCTATTAGTATATGGCAGTATGATAGTACTATAGAAATATTTTTACAGTGTTCTATGGTATAACTTGCTCTTACTGAGATGTAGTATAGTCATAATAGCTCTATAGTGCAATTAATCTAGTATGTATACTACATTATACCTATATAAATTTATACTATGAATTGAATACTTTGTAATAGCTATACTACACATTTGTCTGAGTCCCCTAGTAGTCACGTAAAGACTCATGAGATATGGGTTCTGCTCCCATCTTCTCCATAGATCAACTGCATGGATTCTCCTGGGTAGTCACTTAAATTTTCTATGCCTCAGTTTTTATTACTGGTAAATAGACTAGTAATATCTCCCTGGGAATTTAGTATCATGAGATCACTTCATGAAGGCCACAGGAATTTTGGGAAGAAAAGTACCAGTGTATATTATTTGTTTTACTGGCGCATTATTACTTCTCTGGCATGCAGGAGTGATTGTGCCATGAGTAGTTTTTAATCTTTTAAGGTTTTAAAGAAATATTTCTGCTCATCTCTCTCCTCCTGCTTGACCATCTATAGAAGCCGAGGACACCCACATTCGATGTATAACCACCCCGAACTCAAGACCCATTTTCATCCAAAGGGAAGGAGCTACCTGAAAAAAGCCAAGGATGACAGAGCCAGCTTGCAGCCTGCTAAGTCCATTCATGAACAGGCCGAGTCCCCAAGAGAACTCTGCAGACTACCGAAAAAAGGGGAGCCTCTGGGGTTCAGTCGGAAAGCCAACATCAGGCCCAAAATGGCCAAAAAAAAGCCAACAGCATTTGTGAACATCATCTAGAAGGGTGGGTGCCTCTGAACCACCATTGCTGGGTTTGGGAGAATGTTCTAGGGGCCAACAATAATGTCTTTTTGGGCACATCCCATAGTAAGACACAATGGGAAAGCAAAGGGTATAACACATTTATTTCCTGTCCATACAAGCATGTGGATTAACCAGAATTTAACAGACGGGAATCTCGATGAACCAAAATTTTACTACAGGCCCCTTGTAGAAGCAAGAGGCAAATAATAGAAAGAGCTAAAAAAAATGAAAGCAGTCTTATCCCCACATTTTCGTAGGACAAAGTTCCAACTTCTAAAATAATTAGCCCAGTGTTCAGTAGTTTCCGCATCTGGTGTTCTAGGCAGTGGTAATTAATTCTCTGACCCAAGGCCACACAAGATGTCAGGCACTGAGGAAAACTTCACCTGTGTCCACTGCCCTCTAAATTGTGAGACAAGGAATGGGAATAGTGCAATAAAAATATTTTTGTGTGCTTTTAACCATCCCCTCAATTAATTTGAAAGCCTCTAAAGTAAGGATTCCGGTTTCCCTGAGTATTCTGGTTAATCCAGATTTCAATGTTTGGGTTGCTTCAAGGGACTTGTTTTGTTAGACTTCAGTTCTCATTTCGATGGAGTGTTTCCCAGTTTGTTGGTTTGATTCAGGTTTTTTGTTTCCCTGGATGCATGTTTATTCAGATTTTGGTGCACCTCTTCTTTCTTCTGTGGCTGGATAACCTGCACCCTGAGACCACGCTACCAGCCTCTACCTGTGTCAATCGCTGTAGTTGGGAAGCCATGAAACCCTTTGATCAGCACCCTTTTGATCATCATGAGGTCAGGGTCTGAATGGTTGAATGCCAGTGGATTGCACATGTGCTGCATGTGAGCCATCCTGAGACTCTGAAGGCCTCTCCCAAGACCTTCTGTCCTGGCAGTGTCAGCAGCTTCTCTGTGTTTGCTGTAGGCATCACTGTCTCTGTGCTGGCCTGACTTTTCCACCTCCTGTGGCTGCTGTGCCCTTTTATGACTAAAATACACATTCTTACCTTTCAGCCAGCTATCTAAAGTGTTCGTGGCACACTGCGTTCTAAAGTAGTTTCTAACATAAGCAGTGCATGTGAGATCCAGAATCAGAGACTGTCCTCCTCTCTGTCCCTAAAATGGCTTTTGTTCCCACAAAGAACCATCTGTTAAGAACCTGCCTTATGAGTTTTTTCAAGCATTTCCATGTTACTTTTGTTTTTAATTTAGCATTATCATCAAATCTGCAGAGTTTACAAGTGCTGGCATCCTTCTGAAAATAAGAATAATTATGTCCCCAAATATATACATATATACATATATATATATATATAACATACAAAATATATATGTCAAGTATATTAATAATTTATTTTTAAATACTCATGGAAAAGGTGTGTGTGTATGGTGGGTGGTTTTTAAACTATATATGTTAGTTCATGTAAATTGAATTCTCTCATTTTAAAAGTTAAAACTGTGACCTAATTAACTTTAGTAGAATTATGATTGTTATTGCAATAAACATCAGATTAGCAGTGCATTAAAAATAGATAACGCAATTACTTAAAATGCTAGTAAATTGAAAAGTGTAACTTATTATACAAACATTTTGAACCTATCATAGTGAAAATGTTGACGTTTGAATCTTCACTTTGACTTCAGGCTCATAGGGGCGGACCATTCATGTGGTGTGTAGGCAACTGTCAAGTGAGAAAAATATTGCTGTGAATATCACTGTTTAGGCTAACATTGTAAAGATTGTAATGTTATGATTATTATTTGGAGAATTAACCTTCTTCATGGTTATTTATTTATTGATATTTATACCATGATTGCCCTTTAGCCTTTTCCATACTAAAAATTGACTTGTTGATTCTATTGCATGCTAATTGTCCCGTAATGTGTGTGTGCAATGATAACTTATTTTTTTTTCAATTTTTTAAATGTAACCTACATTTTCAATTTTCATTTAAAATGCCTAGAGCACGTGACAGCTCTCTTCGACAGTGGTACCCAGTGACCTTCTGAAAGCACCATAATATCATATCTATTCTATGTACATTCTATATACAGAAGACAAATGATTTTAAGATTTATTATATTAATTTTTTTTAAGTTCCAACAAAATTCTGACCCTCACACCAGGAAATGCATTATGTATGTTTGCTCCTTAGAGACATAAATTTGCTATTGAAACATGGAAGCTGGCTCACTCTGAGGGATAGCCCGCTTACATGCCATGGCCCAACCCGTGTGCCGTGTCCTACTTGGGTCTTATTTTTAAATATTTTCTTTGTCCACATGAGCAGTCAACCTTAGAGTTGCTTTTTTGGAAGAAATCACCAAAGAAGTTTCTGGGAAAACATGTTCAAGGTTAAACTGAAGAATGGATCTAATTTTATTTATTTCGTAAGGATGAAATCTTTATTTAAACTGTTCTTTCTCTCTTTTTTTTCCCAAACTAGGTTACATATTCTTAACTGCAAAGTTCAGATTGCTTAGACACTGTTTTCCAGTATTTTTCAGGGTCAGTCAGTTGTCTGGACGTTGGAATATTCTCTTCTAAGAATTAAAAAGAAAGTTTTTAGATTATGAAATATTATAATAAAGCTATATTTCTGACTAACGTGTTGCTGTTTTGTCTAGTTGAAATGTTTCTAGTTGAAATGTTTCTGGGGAGCCAAGTATGCTGGTCCATTAACAGTGAACAAAAGATCCTTCCTGATAAGCTGTACAATGATACAGTCACCATGATCTTGTACCTATAAGCTTTCTTGAATGTTTAGCTTGATCATTTTTGTTTATCAAAATGCCTATATTTAAAAGCTCTTTTTATATATGTTGACACTGAGGAGTCCTCATGACAAACCTATTTGGCATTTTTCTCCCATCTTCCTCCACAATTATGAGTAATTGTCCTACATTGTATTTTATTTATTTATTTATTTATTTATTGTTTAGCTGAGCCATCCTGTCACCTGTTGGCAGCTCAGCGGCTGCTCAGCTCGGGCCAGGAATCGAACCGCTGTTGCTCAGAGCTCAAACTCTTGAGCGAGCTCTTAGCCAACTGAGCCACTCGGTCGGCCCCTACATTGTATTTTTAAACTTGTCCACTCTTAGCACAAAACATGAACAGGTTTCATAGTATGTGTGTACATATATATCCCAACCTATATATGCTGTACATCCTAGTCATCGCAAGGTCCAGAGAGTGATCAGGATAGTTAACAGAAATGAGTATATCACTAGCAGAATAACTCAGCCATTGGTCTTTTAAGAACCATGGAATTAGGAAAATTTAGGGGACTCCATTTGTTCAGGAGCTGTTAGAACTATTAGGGAGATGACCTCAGTCTGCTTTTATGCTTACTCGTGTTAATGAGTTCATCAGGTCATAATGTTCTTAAGAAATAACTGTGACATTCTTGGTTATCTCTGGGCATGAGAAAACATAAATAAATCTCAGCTTCTTGATTCAGCTCAGTTCGGATCCTTGGAAAATGAATTCCAGAGATGGCATGCATCCAGCATCCCCAAGACAAGCCATGGAGCCATTTCAAAAGCTTAAATAATGGGGAACTTTAGAAATTGGTTCCCTTTTTGTGGAAATAAGGTGGTTAATTTTTTTCTTTCTTTTTTTTTTGGTTCATGTTTTGTATCAGTAAAAGTAGACACATCTGAAATGTTCAGTTAAGAAAGGGATCTTCAGCCTGTAGCTCTATGATGTGTTTCTTTTGGATTTGCAGCTATTATTCTAAGACAGAAATGAGTTTTTCAGTAGAGGAAACTCATGCTTGGCAGATCCTGCTCTCCTGCCCACAGTGTAATGGGGACACTGATAAATTTCATATATGTGGGGCAGGTGTCTGGGATGGTGAATGAGGGCTTTGGGACCATGTCCTGTGAAAAGAGGAGACAGGATTGGTGTCCTTGAATATCTGAAGGACTGTCACATGCAAGAATACTTATTTTGTGTGGCTGCAAAAGACATTACTAAAGTCAGTGAGTGGGAGTTCTAAAGAAGCAGATATCAAGTCATTGAATGAAAAATGTCTAAGTTCAACACGGAATAGGTCACCTTGTTGAAAAAGTGAGCTTGTGTCTCTACCTGCTCTTTCCTTTGTGGTAGATGGGATCCTTCTTTGGGCGGGGAATTGGAATGGATCCCTCCAAAAACACTTGTAGTTCAGGGATTCTGTCATAGATACTGATGCTACATTATTACTGTAAATGTTGGCTGCATAAAACTTAGTGTTGAGGTGACGAATTGATTTTGGAGATTATATTTCACTGACTTGAGCTTCATGGAGTGGAGTGTCCTATAACATGCATCCACAGCTATCCTCATAGATGTTTTGGAGTTAGGGATGAGGACGTATCATTTTCTTCTCTTAGCAGGTGCAGAAACAGCAGTTGGGGAAATGGGACATGTACACCTGGCACTGTTACCTCAGTCAGGACCATGTGCTTCTCAGGAAGCATCTCACCTCACTGAATGTAGTTTCAGTGTTTAAAGGGAAGGTGCATTTTTTTGTTGTTGTTACAACAAGGCTCCTGAATGCAGGCCAGCCATTTCATCTGGTGTTCAGTTGAGTCACCAGCAATTCTGTCCAACACCGGAGGAGAACTTGGCAACGTTAGACTTGGTAGGAGATAGTGTGTGGTGTGTGAGGTTCCAACATCATGCCTTCCTCAGGCATTTTTCAGGTAGTACTAATTATACTAAACTTTTGCCTTCTGACAATATTTTAAGAATGTGACTTCACCATATTTTATAATGAAAGTGGGGCTTATAGTGGTTTTAAAGAGTTGTCCAGACCTTCTTCATAACCGAGAACCAGAATGTTGAATAAGAACCAAAATATTGTCTTCCTGAATCCCAGCCAGTGCTTTTTTCCACAACATTGAGCCACCTCCTTTACAAGATTACTGGAAAATGGTCCTAAATTTATGAATTTTTAGATTATACAATGGTTCTCAGTGTCCTAAAATTCAGTTTAATATTTATCAATTATTACACTGATTTAATGCGAACCACCATGGGGGATAAGAATGTCACCACTCTCTCATCTCTAGACTGCCCATCTACCTTATAATAGAGCCACCCCAGTTTGCCAAGGAATTTCAGATAGGAATCTGTTAAGAGTTTAATGCACACGTTTTTGGACATGTCAGATTGGTGGTTTGCTGACTAATGAGAGGGGCACTGCATCCACATCGGTCAGATCTATCAGAGAAACAGAAGGGTGATTCTATATCTCAGGTCCTCTTTGTTGAAGACATGTTGGCCATTCCTCTTTTTCTTAGGAGTGCACCACCTTTTTTATCCCTATGCAAGTCAGCCTGTAACTTGACACTATAGCTAAAATTTCTTGTATAATCCTAAACACAGAAAGCTGATGGAGGAAACCAGGAGGCTTACAAAAAGTAAGGGTCACCCTAGCATAAACAAAGGCACTCAGGAGGGGGCTACGGGCAAATGGGGGGACACACAGTTACTGGTGCTCAGAACAAAGCCCTGAGGGCCGGCTGAGTGGCTCAGTTGGTTAAGAGCTCGCTCAAGAGTTTGAGCTCTGAGCAACAGCGGTTCGAGTCAGCCCGAGCTGAGCAGCCGTGANGAGCTCTGAGCAACAGCGGTTCGAGTCAGCCCGAGCTGAGCAGCCGTGAGCTGCCAACAGGTGGCGGGATGGCTCAGCTAAAAAAAAAAAAAAGAAAAAAAAGAACAAAGCCCTGAGCTAGCCTGCATGCTCTGGCTCTGCCTGCCTCTCCCACCTCCTTTAGCCCCATACCCCTGACTCGCTCCTCTCCAGCCACTGGCTTCCTTTCAGAACATCACAAATACCCTGCTCTCCCTCAACACAGCCATTCTGCCAGGTTATGCCTTCTGCCAGGAATGCCCTTCTCTTTCTTCTCCACCTGCTTAGTTTCTACTGAACCTCCAGATTTCAGGCCAACCCTCACATCCCCAAGGCAGCCTCATAGCTCTCGGAACACCATGTACCTTTTCACTGGAGGAATGACCCCAGGTGTCCCTTTAGATCTAATGGTGTGATTCCTTGACTCATACCTGCCACCTCCCTCACTAGCCTGTGATTTCCATGAACAAGGGGCCCTGTCTCTGTCTTTTATCCCCAGTATGTCCCCAGTGTCAGGTGCAGTACCTGGTGCAGAGTGGGTCTTCAGTAAGCATTTGTGGAGCACAGGAGCATCAGTAGCCTCAGGGATGTTTAAAAAGGAAAGAATGATGGGAACGTGGGTTTTCTTCCAGCTGGGGAGGATCAAAGAGGGATTGGTGTTTGAAGAATGAGTAGGATTGGGGGCAACAGAAGACAGAAGAGCATTTTAGGCAGTCTGAGCACAGCCAATGGCAGGAGAAAGCACAGAACCAGTGAGGCCCAGGAAGTAATGTTATTTCGCCTTGTGTGGCGATGTTTGCCTGTCTGTCTCCCCCTCTAGAGGATAAGCTGCTTGGGTCTGCTCCCATTGTATAGTACTGTGTCCTGTCCTATCTTGGTGTCTTCAGCACTTAGTACCAGGCCGCTGTAGCCTTTTGGGAGATCCAGTGAGAAAGATCATGAAGGACAGGGTTATACCTAGAGCTTAGGAGGGGGCTAAGTGTGCCAGTGAAGGACAAGTATATCCACCTACAGAAAGAGAAGGCAGATCATTGGAGCACTCCCCTTGGAAGGGCCCTTCCAGCTAGTGCTGGAGCACTCAGACTGGCTGGCTACCCCTCTTATCAGCAGATATTTTGAAATTCTCCTTTTAGCCTGCATCTATGATAGGATGGGAAATACATGGCATTTCCTTCGGAACCAGGAAATATTGCTAATTGACCATGGTAATCTTTCCTAGTGAATATAAACATGGCGTCAGAATCATGGCCTCAGAAACAGCCATTACCAGCGGTGGTAGACAGAAGAATGCCCTCACCCTGCAAAGTCTATGTCCTAATCCCCAAAACCTATGCGTATGTCAGGTTACATGACAACAGGTAATTAAGGTTGCAGATGGAGTTAAGTTTCTAATCAGCCAACCTAAAAATAAGGAACTTATCCTGGATTATCTGGGTAGGCCCAGTGTAATCATGGGTCCTTAAATACAGAAGAGAGAGGCAGAAGTGTCAGTGTCAGTGATGTGATATGAGACAGACTCGACCTGTCGCTGTTGGCTTTGGTGAAGGGAACGCAAGCCAAGGAAAGTGGGCAGCTTCTAGAAGCTGGACAAGGCAAGAAAACAATTCTCCCCAGAGCCTCCAGAAAGGAATGAGCCCTGCTGACACCTTGAGTTTAGCCAAGGAAAATCTATTTTGAACTTTGAAACTACAGAATTGTAAGATAATGAATATGTGCTGTGTTAAGCCACTAAGTTTGTGGTAATTTGTCATACATAGCAGCCATATAAGACGAACACACCAGCTAATCACATTTGGCACAAAGTGCAATCTATTTGCCACTCCTCAACAACAGTATGGTTGAGGGCGAGCTGGCGCTGTCTGCCTGTTCTACAACTTCTCTACTGTAACTGGTCCAGTTTCCTCAGCTGGAACGATGAACACACAGAATGTTGTGTGTTGGCCATGTAAGAAGTACATGGGGACAACCATGAAGTCTTC